TTTCCACTACCCCCATGGCCATTTTAACAACATCTACTACGTTATACGGAGGAGGGAGTAATTTTATCTTGTCTTTTTTTTCCAGGGTCCATTACATCTTGCTCTCACAGGATCCCACTTTCTGTTATTTTATCAGTCCAATTCTGCACTAGCAACCCATTTGACTGTACTTAATTCTGGTTGCAACAGGCTCTGTAGATATGAGGTGCTCCATAAGACCATTTAGGCACATTACTGGATGGTATTACCATATTATCATGGACTGTTATGAGTAAAGCTAAAGGGGATTCTACCTGTCCCTGCAGATCATCAGATTGAATAAATCAGGGTCGATTTGCTTTTAAAAATTTAGGGAACTTGGTTCACCTATTGCACTGTTCCTCCAGATTCCCCAAAACATGCCCCCCCCCCCCAGATTCTACTAGTGGAGCTAGGGAGTCCTTACCATACCCAGTTTCCAGTCACTGGGGTGGTGGACAGAGGGTTTTTTCCTCAAGAGTGTTTGAGTGTTTTCCTCCACTCTTGGAGAAGAGGACGAAGCTGGGGTCCTCCTACCTGGGTCCCTGGATGTATTTCCCAGATGTCGGTAGGAGTGGTGCTGGCCTAAGTAATACTGGTTCAGATTTTATCCTACGTTATCTGGTTGGGGTGTTCTTGGCTCTTCTTATGAACAGTGTTAGGCTGTATATTGTTCAGTGATGGAGGTCCACTATCTCCTCATAATTCTGAGCACAAAGTGGCCCCAACATAAGTCCTTGATTGAACACAGTGTTCCATATCCTCTTCATAATTCCTGGGGCAAGTGGAATGCTCCTTGTCTACTTGGTTGGAGAGTGAGGATGAATGTTCATAATTACAGACTGGATTAGTTCTGTTCCTTTGGTTGAGTAAGACATATATGATCCTGTCATTCTGAGCATGGGGTGGTGCCTTTCAGACTTCTTCAGGTGGAAGAGAAAGTTTGTTCACTTCAATGTTGCTTACTTTATCATCATAATTCCAGTGGTTCAGAACACATCAGTCTATGGCTACAGGTTGGGATCCAATCCAAAGTATATCTATATATCACATTGTGATCCAATTGCTGTAGCCACCAACGTGGGATGTAGGGACCATGACCACTTAATTCCAACCCCGAGTTGTAGAACCTCGGTTATTTGGTTGGGGCTGGCCTATAATAATTACTCGTGTACTATTCCACCCTTGATGCCAATATGAAGTTCTGGGTGAAGAGCATACCTGTTCTGGATGTAGTGCAGTTTCCTCACTTGTGAACCACTTTTATCTTGGTACACCTCTGTTCTATACAGATGTTTTTTGTATGGGCAATGCTTTCACTGGCCCCCCCACCTTTTCAATGTGGGATTCTAACTAAAGTATTAGTGGAGGGTAAGTATGTTTTGGAAGTTAACATTTTCCTAAATTGAAAATGTATTTCCAATAATACTTACCTCTGTTGACACTCTCTTGCCCTTCCTCCTCACTAAGAGCTGGTGTTAGTGATTTGGATGGTGTAACTCTCAAAAAAGTGATTACATTATCTGAGTGAGGTGCTTATATACAGTGTCAAGATAGAGGGTATATTGATGCAGGTGGAGGAATTTGCAAATTAGATATTGCCAAGGGCATTTAAGTGGGGTATAAAAGACTGGAGCAAGTGAGACTAATGCTTAGATAGGGAAAGCCAATGTTGAGGAATAGCTAAAGTGTCAGCAGAGGTAAGTATTATTAGAAATACATTTACATTTTAGGAAATTATAAACTTTTAGGTTCCCCAACTTTTCTCTTACAATTTCAGAACTTAAAATTATATCTTTTACATCAATATTTTCCCCATACATTAAGTGCTGTGGTTGAAGCAAAATACTTGTATCTTCCTTCGTAAAAATATAATTTGATAAGTTTACCATTTCATAATCTTCTTGGATCAGCTCTCCCACTATCATTTTTAAGAGACCCCAATCCCCATCCTAACATTTTGGTTACTCATCGTATACCTAAAGAATTCCTTATTGTTTAACTTTCTTGGCCAACCCTCTTTCACATACAGTTTTTGCCTTTTTAACCACCTCTCTTGATTTCCTATAGTCCTCCAAGTCTTAAATTTATTATGTGTATTCCTAATATGACCTCTTAAGCCTTTACTAAACCATACTGGCTTATTCTGCTCTGTTGCCCTTTTTTTATTGTAGGAAATATGTATATTCTGTATGCATATCAATTTTTCCCTAAATGCTTCCCACATCCGTTCAAGATACTTTCCCAACTCTTTTGTCCAATCTACAGAAACCAGATCATTTCTCATTCCATTAAAATTGGCTTTCTTGAAATTTGGAATCAGGGTACTATTCTTCAATTCTTCATGTAGTAAAATCCCACACCTAATAGTGCAATGGTTGCTTATACTTAAATGCTCACCAACCACAACTCAGTCTATCATATTCACATCGGATGCTAATATTAAATCTAATATAGCTTCCTCTCTTGTAGGTTCCATCACCAGTTGGTGTATAAAAGTATCCTGAACAATTTCCAAAAACTTATCCCCCTCACTGAAATTAAAATCTCCCATAATAATATCATCTTTATCAGCTACCATTCTGATTTCATTAACTTCCACATTCTGACCTAGTGGTCCATAACAAATCTTATAACAAAGACTTTTCCCTTTATATCCACTAACACTAACCCAAACTTTGGAGTACTTTGATATGGGTTTTTACATTCTAAATTCAATGATAAATTGTTTGTACAGCCTTTTTTCAATAAATGATATAATAAATGAGTCAAATTTAAAATTTCTGATATTTCATCATATTTCCCGATTTTCCCTGGTTTATGGAAATACAAAATGCTTGGTCACAAAAGGGTTAATGAAGTGAAAATCTCCTACTATTCATTACATGTTATTTGGTACAGCTTCAGTTACATTATGAACTAGAAAAAATGTTGGCATAGCCTACTGATGTGCTCAATCATTTAAATAAAACTTAATTTTAACAGCTCTGAGAGAAATATAACAGAATATGGGTGCCTGTGTTCAAAAAAGAGTATTTCATTTAGATTGTTTTTCTATTTAAGGTATTTGGTAATGTTCATAGAGACCAATCATTTCCCATATATTTAACGTGTAGAAATTTTCATTTTTATAAAGGGGGCATTTTTGATAGATCTGAAGGAAGTAAATGTTGCCTTTAAATAAAATATATTTGCATAACACCTGGAGTATCATGTTTAAACAAAACACATCTAGGCCTTTAAGTCAAATGCCAATAATAGCCCACAGAATGTTGGAATTGTGCCAAATGTGCCAGGAGATTCCAGAAAATGCCTGAGACATGCAAGCTTTTGTCCAAGGGACCAGCTTCTTTCAGCTAATCAGTGTCCATAAGGGTTCACAGAAATCACAAATAATATCAAATCTAATCACATTATTCCAAATCTGTCCAACATATATGGATAAGTAATGAAATCTACATCATTAAGGAAATTGTGGAAACTTTCAATAAACATTAAACTGAATTTTACTCTATTTTATTACATAATAGACTGTTAATTTTGATTCAGATTAACTTACCAGAGCATATTCTTGACAGTTCAGCCTCCATATACCACATATCCTTCTTGAATATTTATATCATTATATATATATTCAGTAGCTACATTTCTCTCCTGCCAGAGCATGTGCAATGATGATGAAATGGTAGCCTCAAAAGTAAAGATAACCATACATTTTGCCACGAATATGGTGAATAAAAAACTTGTATATATCATTAATGAAAGGAAGCTGTATCTGTTAGTTTTCTAGCAATTCTTTTTAGTTTTACGCTATTATATCATATATTGCAATTGATATCATTGCAGCAACACAACCTCACTTCAACACACATTTGTTTACTTCAGATAATACCATCACCTCCCCAGTACTCTTCCAGAGTTGTATATCTATTAGATTAGCTGTGAAAGAAAATTTAATCCAGCACTAAAATTTGTTGTTGGTTGATCTATTTACAATATTCTTAGGTGTATTGTTATAATAAGATTCCTTGATATGACTGACCACTGTCCTTATCAAGCAGTTATACCTTTGCAATATTTACTACATTGTAATAATCTGGCAACAAAAATTCTTTCATATTAAACTTAATAAATAGTGTTATTTTTGTTTTTATTCTGTGGCCTGAAAATGTTAAATTGTTTGATTAGTTGTCTTTGATTTTTGTGGTTTATCTATTTCTCTATGATCTTGACAAATATTTTTTGCTTGCATTTATAAATTATCAACATTTTTTTTCATCATACCATTCTGCTCATGATCAGTCTTATGCTAGTTTATTATATCATTTATAGAAACATTATGTTGCATAATGGGTGTTATTTGTAGTTTGTGCTATTAAATAGTGCACTGCACACATGACTGATTTTCATGACATTGCTATAAAACTTTTCTCATATGTGTAAAATTCTGCATTAAATACCAGGATATTATAGAGTGATGCTTTATAGCCACAACTTTTACACGTCTTATCCCTGGTTCAGTTTGTTGTTTTACTTAGTGTGCACAACAAATGCCTTAGAAATCAGTATTAAATGCATTAGTGAATTAAGACTTTATATCAACTCTTATGTTAAAGAAGTTTTGTGAGTAATTAAATGTCAATTTTCTTATAGATTTAATTCATGAGGTAGCTTGAATTATTCAGTGATGCATCTTGTTCATTATGCTTCTTGAACAACTTTTGGAACTAAATTTCTGTTCTACTGGAAAATTGATTTTGTCAAAAAATCATAAAAACAAAACTTCTTTGCAGCAGTATTTATATACAATGTCAGTATTATCATCGATAGTGAGTGTTTAATACAAGAAATGAATAAGAGTTAAATACTACATTTATGTTATATTTTGTGTTTGGGTAGTTTTATTAGTTTATGCAGAGAAAGTTATGGAGATATTGAATATTACTAAATCTTATTGCCTGATGAAGAACTTTATTGTTTAGCAGAGAAGCAGCAAGGGACTACCAAGGGTAAGAACAACAGCTCAACTCAAGTAAATGGAGAACAACAAATATCCAAATCAGAACCAACCTGGGTTCATGATATTTTCCAGGGAACGTTAACTAATGAAACTAGGTGTCTGAATTGTGAAACAGTAAGTATTGCTGCTATTTTTTACATTTTGTTTACTCATTAACCATTCAGGATGTTTTACTTCACAGAACAGTAGAATTTGAAAGTAAAGAAAATGTACATCAACAGTGGTATTTAGCACACAACATATGTAAAACATCAAAGTTATTGAAAATTCTGGGGGCTTGCTTAGGTTATGCAACAAGTTTTTTTAATGGAAAATTGTTCATGAATAAACTTTTTTTTTTATAAAGTTTTGTTACTAATTTCAGTTCATTATGAAAAATATTCCTTCAGAAACTGGGGAAACTTCAGAATAATCTGATAAAACTAATATGAATATTATACTTTAAAAATATAAGAAACAAGTATAATTATCTTGCCTTTTTAAGAGGCCATTCTGAAGTGATAAAAAAAATGTATACAAGGAATACATTTTAGTATTTAACCCTATCACCACAGGCATCCATTACTGCGCATGTTATGAGGTTTAGTGACTTACATTCAAAATTTAATTAAACAACTTTTTGTTTATGTTATACCGATTAGTATAGCATAAATCCGTATCTAATAATCCATATTTTAATAACATATAAGTTTTAAGTTCTTAATTTTATAAGGCAATATTAAACAAAATCCCGAATTTCCCCTAGTGTGAAAAATGCGACATATTTTCTCTGTTAGTACAAACTTCGTTCCCTCGGGAAAGATAACAACTAGCTTGGATGAACTTATAACAGGTCTTTTCACATGTTTGGAAAGCCAGAAAAATTGTGATAGTTCTGGAAAATTGTATGTTTTTTGTATGTTATTATTCTGTGTTCTTTGGTGCATTATTTAATTAAATAGAAAATTAGTGCATTACTGCTATTAGTATAAAAAAAAGGTAGGGTTAAGTGTCGTTGACAGTCGATAGCAAAAAAAGAAAGACACAGTTAAGTACTTTATTTCTTGTCCTTCATGTGTACTCTTTATTTATTATTATAAAAGTAACTAAAATGTAAAAATAGG